GGATGTACCCCTGTAACCGCCCCGTCCCGTGTTCCCCCGGGCCCCCCGTGTCCCTGTGTTCCTCTGTATCCCCCCTCCTCTCCTGTATTCCTCTGTATCCCCCCTCCTCTCCTGAGCCTCTCCGTAGCCCCCTCCCGGGTCCCCCCTGTGTTCCCCCGTATTCCCTGGGATGCCGCTCGTATTCCGTGTCCCCTCGTGTCCCCCCGTGTCCCTGCGTCCTCCCTCCCTTGCCCCCCGACCTCTCCCGTGTCCCCCCCTCATCCCCACGGGGAGTTTCCCATCATGCCCCGCGTGGGACTTCACCTCCCAGCGTCCCCTGCGCGCAGTGGGCGGGGCCTCCGCCATCTTGGCGCGGTCCCTCAGCGGCGTGAGGGGGGGGGGGGGCACGTCCGGCGGCTCTTAAAGGGGGCACGGCCCGGGGTGGGGCCCCCTCGGCGCGGGATGGAGCGCGGAGCGGCGGAGGAGGTTCGCGGGGACGGGGAAGTGGCGGCGGGGGCGGTGGGAGCGGGGCGGAGCCCCCAAAATCCGGCTCTTCCCCTCCCGCCCGCCGCCGTTGTGCCGCCGCTTCCCCCCCCCCTTTACGGCCCGGCGGCGGGAACGGGAGGTGGGGGGGGACCGGGGGGGAACAGCGGGGGGCGGGGCTTGTGGGGGGCGGGGCTTGAGCAGGCGCGGGCGGGGCCAAGAGGGAGGTGGCATCGGGGGTCCGAGGGGCGGGGTCAAGGTGAGGGGGCGGGGCCTGGGGCGGGGATTGAGGGGGTCCCTCCCCTCAGCTCCCCCCTTCCTTGTGACCCCTCTGACCCTTCCCCGTGTCCCTGTGGCCCCACCTGAAGCCCCCAGACCCACCCCCCCTGGAGCCAGAACACCCCAAATTCCTCACCTGACCCCCCCTACCCTCTCCATGGAGCCAGGACACCCCAAATTCCTCACCTGAACTCCCCCATCCAGTGCCGGACCACCCCCATGTCCCCCCACTGACCCCCACTGTGTCCCCCCCAGCCCCTCCTTGCACCCCCAGCCCACCCCTCTGACCCTCCCCTGTCCTCCTAGCCCCTCCCCTTGTCCCCATGGACATCCCAAATTCTCCCACCTCACCCCTCTCAGACCCTCCCCGCGCCCCCAGCCCACTCCAGTGACCCCTCCCCTGTCCCCCCCAGCCCCTCCCTGTGCCCCCAGCCCACCCCAGTGACCCCTCCCCTGTCCCCCCCAGCCCCTGCCCGTGTCCCCATTGCGGGGGGGTCGCCCCCGTGCCCCCGAGGTTGTCCGGCGGCAGCGGCGGCAGCGGCGGCGGGAGTTGGACGCGCCGTGGAGCCGCTGCCAGATCCGCATCGGGGGGCACCTGGAGCGCTGGTGCCGCCTCAAGGAGCAGCTCGGCTTCGCCCTGCACTCCCAGCTCGCCCAGTTCCTGCTCGACAGGTCGCTGGGGGGGTCCCCTGAGCCCACCAAAATTCACCCCTTTCACCCAGGGTTGGAGTCGGGCCGGCTCTGCCCCTGCTGACCCCACCTTGTCCCCGCAAGTACAGCAACCCCGGCGGTCCCCGGAGCTCAGGTGGGTGCCTCCCCCTCCCCAAAATTGGGGTGTTGCCCACCCAGGGTGGGTACCTCCCCCTCCCCAAAATCGGGGTGCTGCCCACCCATTTGGATGTCAGTGCAGAGAGAGGGTTCCTGGCCCTCCCAGGTTGAGTCTCCCCCCCCCAAAACCCACCATTTTGGAACCATTTTTCAAGGATTTCTGTGTTTTCCCTGTTTAACCGCCCAAACCACCATTTAGGAGCCCTTTCCTCAAAGATTTCCACGTTTTGCTATTTGACCCCCCCAACCATGCCCCCAAAACACCATCTTGGAGCCGTTCCCTCAAGGATTTCAATGTTTAACCCCCCTGACCCCCATTTCAGAACCATTTCCTCAAAGATTTCCATATTTCCCCCATTTGTGCCCCCCCAAAGCCCCCTCTCTGACCCATTTCCTCAAGGATTTTCCCTATTTCTGGTGTCTCCGAGGGGACCCAGGGGAGCCTGGCCATCTCCACCCAGCCTCCCTGCAGCGCCTGGTTGTCCTGTCCCACGGGCACGGGCAGGAGTGCGGCTTTGTGCCCGACGTGCGGCCGCCGGTGCCGGGCAGCACTGCCCCCCTGGTCTGGGAGTGCGTGGCCGGGCACCGCTTCTCCTGGGGGGGCCCTGGGGGGTCTGGGACACCCCCAGGAGCACCCCCGGAGCCAGGAGACCCCTTGGATAAGGAGGAGGAGGAAGAGGAAGAGGAGGAAGGGGGGCACGGCAGGGCTGGGGGCACAGGTGAGTTCCACCCCTCCGCCCAGGGTCACCTCTGTACCCTCAGCACCCCCTGGGTCCCCACCAGCACCCACCAGCACCCCCCCAACCCCATCACGCTCCGGGGGGCTCATCCCACTGGGATCAGGGGTTGGGACAACCCCGGGGCCCTTCCCCACCCTCCATCCTCACCCTCCTCCTCCTCTTCCTCTCATGGCCACCCCCATCACTCTCCTGTCCGCCCCATCACCCTCTTGGCCCCTTCCACCCCCTCATCACCCTCCTGTCCCCTTCCAGCCCCTCCCTCACCCTCCTGTCCCCCCCATTACCCTCCTGTCCCCTTCCACCCCCTCCATCACCCTCCTGTCCCCCCCATCACCCCCCTGTCCCCTTGCAGCCCCCAGGTGCCCCCAGAGCTGTCCGCTGTGGCAGCAACAGGTGGGAGGTGAGTGGTGACCCCCCCAGATTGTCCCCTTTGTCCCCATCCAGCCCCCCCCTGGGCCCCCACCCAGGCTGACCCCCCCTGTGTCCGTGTCCTGCAGCTCCAGCCCCAAGAAGGAGCCTGGGAATGAGCCCCGGGAGGAGGAGGAGAAGGACCAGGAGGAGGAGGAGGAGGAGGAAGATGACCTGGCCTACAGCGATGACCTGAGGGACCAGAGCTACCACCCGGGCCCGGGCAGGTGAGGTCCCAGTACAGACCAGTGAGGCACTGGGAGCTCTCAGGCTCTTCCTCCCCTGTGTCCCAGTACAGACCAGTGAGGCACTGGGAGCCTCTTGGGCTCCTCTTCTTGCCCATCCCATCCAACCCATGTCCAGCCATGTCCAACCCACATCCAGTCATGTCCAACCGTGCCCAACCCATGTCTTTCCATGTCCTTCCACATCCTTCCATGTCCAGCCCAAGTCCTTCTACACCCAAACCACATCCAGCCCATTCCCCCTCAGACTCCCCCAATGTTCCAGCCCCACCCAAACTCCCTCACCCACCCCATTTATCCCCCAAACTCCCTCACCCACCCCATTTATCCCCCCAAACCCCCTCACCCACCCCATTTATCCCCCAAACCCCCTCACCCACCCCATTTATCCCCCCAAACCCCCTCACCCACCCCATTTATCCCCCCAAACCCCCTCACCCACCCCATTTATCCCCCCAAAAGTGACTCGGAGCTGCCGCCCCGGCCGAGCCGCCCCTGGGCCTGCAGGAAGGAGAAGGAGAAGCCCCCCGAGGAGGAGGAAGAGGAGCAGGAACAACCCCCCCTGGAGCCCCCCCGGGGCCCCCCCCGCCCAACCCCAGCCTCCCCGAGGAGAGGAGCGGCCAAGGGTGAGTCGGGGTGGGGAGTCCCAGTGGGGAGGGGGCTTTGGGGTCATGGGGGGGAGCATTTTGGGGTCACAGAGGGAACATTTTGGGGTCACCAGAGGGAGCATTTTGGGGTCACAGAGGGAGTGTTTTTGGGTCACAGGGGGAGCATTTTGGGGTCACGGAGGGAGTACTTTTGGGGTGGTCTGGGAGGGTTTCTGTCTCTGTCTCCATGCTGAGGGACGCTCTGGGACCACCAAAGGTGGGCAGGTATTGAGGGCAGGGCACAAGCCTTGTGTCCCCAAGGGGGGTGTCCCCCCTCCCCATGACCCCACTGGCCACCACGGGGCAGACCCATGTTCCTGGGCCTGGTTTGGGTGTCCAGCACCCAAATTTGGAGGGTTTTTGGCTCCCTGACCTTGCTTGGGGGGGGGATCCCCAACCCCTGTGACCTTCGTGGGGAGCCAGGAGAGGCCGAGGGGGCAGGGGATGGGGACAAAGACCCTCCCAGCCCCAAATCCATGGATCCCAGCTCAGAATTCCCTGGTTTTGGGGCTTAATGACCCCAAATCCCTCCCTGGGGGGGTCTCTGCTAGTCTGGGGGCTGCTCTGGAGCAGCTCTGACACTCCTGGATGGGTTTTCCAACACTTCCAACGTGGCAAAGGGGTTGAAATCCCCTTTTTTCCGACATTTCCAACACGTCCAAGGGGTTGAAATCCCCTTTTTTCCGGCACTTCCAACGCTTCCAAGGGTTGAAATCCCCTTTTTTCGGCCCAACCCCGTCCCCAGGTGAGTCCTTTGCTGCAACCATCGACCTTTTCCCCCCTCTGAGGGGCAATTTTTGGGTGCTGAACCCCCTCCCCTCCCTCTCCTGGCAGCTCCAGACCCACTGGAAGAGCAGAGACCCCCCCAGGAGAGCTGAGCCCAGGGAAGGTAAGGCTGGAATTTGCTCTTCCCCCAATCCCTGGGCTCCCAAGTCCAGTTTTGGGGGGTGGGAAGCTCTGGGTCGTGGTCTGGGCCCTCCCTGGTGAGACTGAAAGTGGGTTTTTATTATTAAATATTTTATTGAATATATTATAATATATTAATGTATTATTTATTTTATATTTATTTATCTATATTTATATTTATTTATATATTTATATATTATAATATATTTGTCTTATTAATAAATCAATATTGGTAGTATCAATATTATTAATGATAATTATTAATAAAATATAATTATATTAATATTGATATTTATATAATATAATTAATATGAATATATTAATACATATTAATAATATCAATGTTATTAATAATAATCTATAATAAAATAATAATTTTTATTTATATACAATATATTTTTATTATTGTTTATAATTATTAATAATAAAACTAGTAATTATTATTTATATACAATATATTCATATAATTAAATTTAATAAATACATTATTAAATTAGACATTATTAAATGTGGGAGGGTTTTTTCCTCCACCCCTCTGGTGGTTTTTTGGGGGATTTCTGTCCCAAATCCCAGGATCCAGATCTCCAGAGTCACACCTGGGATTTAGGGAAGGGACTTGGGGGCTCTGCTGGGGCACCAAAGTCCAGACTGAGCTTCAGGTTTGGGGGCACAAATGGTATTTTTAACCATTTTGTTAATTTTTCTTCCAGCAGGAGATAAAATCCTGATTTGTGAGCAGAGCAAGAGCTTCCTCCTCTCCTCCCTCCCCCCGGTAAAGCCAACCCTGAGCTGATTAAAACCCCTTTTTAACCCATTTAGGACCCGAATCCCAGCCCCCCAAAAACCCCTTTAATCCATTTTTTAACGGATCTTCCCTCGATTCCAGGGGCACCAGCCGTTCCCAGGGGGAGCTGGGGGTGAATTCTGGATCAATCCAGGCTGGGATCAGCGTCCTGGGATTGCAGCCAAAGCTTGGGAATGGATTTTTTTGGGAGCAAATAAAGGATTTATTCCCCCCTTTTCGACTCCTGAGCCGTGTGTTTGTTCCAGTGCCTCCTGCTCCCGAGGGATGGGGGAAAAATGGGAGGGGAAAAAGAGAGAACTGAGGGATTTAAAGTGGGATTTCCTTGGGAATTTCCTGGTGGGACAATGAGGGGACTCATCCAGGTTTTTCCCGTTGCAGCTGCCGGAGGAGGACGCAGGGGAAGGACGAGGAGGAGGCTCAGATCGGCCCCAAAAGGATCAGGTACCCAAAAAAAGGGGAAGGGAAGGGGCTGGAGGAGCTCCCGGGGCTCTTCCCAACCCGTGGGGAGGACGAGGAGCAGCTCCAGGGAAGGTTTTAGGGGGGGAAAAAGAGGGAGCAGCTCCAAGGGGAGAAGGAAAAGAGGGAAAAGGGGTGAGGAGGGTGGAGGAGGGAGCCAGAGTGGCGTCCCAAAGGTTTTCCAGCCCTGCCCTGGGAAGGGTTTTCCTGGTTTTTGGTTTTCCCAGGAAGGCGGCGAAGCACGAGATCCTCCTCTGCGACTTCGAGGGCTGCGGGAAAATCTTCTCCAACCACCAGTACCTGAACGTGAGACCCTCAAACCTGCCTGAAACTCACCCAAAACCACTCAAATTCCACCCAAAACCACCCACATCCCCCCCAGAACTACCAAAAATCAGCCAAAACCCACCCCAAACCCTGCCCGAAACCACTCAAAACCTGCCAAACTCCCCCAAAACCCACCGAAAACCACTCAGAACCACCCAAACCCCACCCTGGGCCCCCCTGGGACCGGGGTTTGGGATCTGAGGAGGGTTTTTCCTGATCCTGCAGCACCACCAGAAGTACCAGCACGTGCACCAGAAAAGCTTCGCCTGCCCCGAGCCCTCCTGCGGCAAATCCTTCAACTTCAAAAAGCACCTCAAGGAGCACCAGAAGCTGCACAGCGGTGAGGGGGACATTCCAGAGGGATCCCAGGGCATTCCAGAGGGATAGGGCATTCCAGAGGGATCCCAGCTCCTTCCAGAGGGATCTGATCCCGGTGCCTTTTCCCCCCCAGACCAGCGGGATTTCATCTGCGAGTTCTGCGCCCGCTCCTTCCGCACCAGCAGCAACCTCCTCATCCACCGGCGCATCCACACCGGGCAGAAGCCACTCCAGTGAGTCCCAGTCCCATCCCTGCCCTTCCCAGTAAGTCATTCCTACCATCCCAGTGAGTCCCAGTCGCATCCCACCATCCCAGTAAGTCCCAGTCCTTGCTGCTCCCTGTGTTTCCTGAGTCCCATCCCTCTCTATCCCTGTTTCCTGAGCCCCATCCCAGCCCATCCCTGCTTCCTGAGCTCCATCCCATCCCCGTTGCCCAGGTGTGAGATCTGCAGCTTCACATGGCGCCAAAAGGCCTCCCTGAACTGGCACATGAGGAAACACGACGCCGACTCCTCGTACCAGTTCATACACCAGATCAGGACGGGATCTACATTCGATACTGTACTGATGGAAGCCCTTTCAACCTAAGGCGACTGAAGGCCCACACCAAGACCTTAAACCATCTTGTCCAGGAGCTGCTTTATGCTGATGACGCCGCCCTCGTCGCTCACACAGAAGCAGCTCTGCAGCGTTTGACATCCTGCTTTGCTGAGGCTGCTGAGCTCTTTGGGCTGGAAGTCAGCCTAGAGAAGACAGAAGTTCTCCATCAATCAGCACCTCAGGAAGTCTTCCATCATCCCCATATCACCATTGGCCAATCAGAGCTCAAATCAGTCCAGCAGTTTAATTACCCAGGGAGCCTCATCTCCTCGGATGGTGAGATTGACAGAGAGATGGACAACAGGTTAGCAAAGGCATAGAGAGCTTTTGGAAAACTCCATAAAAGAGTTTGGTGTAATAAACACCTGAAGAAAAGCACAAAGATCAGTGTTTACAGAGCCATTGTGCTCTCTACTCTCTTATATGGGTCTGAATCATGGGTCATCTACAGCCACCACCTGTGACTCCTGGAACGCTTCCATCAACGCTGCCTCCGTACAATCCTAAACATCCACTGCTCAGATTATGTGACCAATCCATCTGTTCTAGAACAAGCAGCAGTCACAAGTATTGAGGCCATGTTGCTGAGAACACAGCTGTGCTGGGCAGGGCACGTCTCCAGGATGAAGGACCAACCACCCCCTCCCTAAGATCGTGCTCTATGGTGAACTTGCCACCGGCTGCTGCAAGAGAGGAGCCCCGAAGAGGAGATACAAGGACTGCCTGAAACAACATCTCAACCTTGGCCACATTGATCAACATCACTGGTCTACTCTGGCCTCCAGTCGGGAGGTCTGGAGACACCCCATCTCTAACGCTGCTGCTTCCTTTGAGAACGCAGCAGGATCACCATCGAGGAGAAAAGACAACGCAGAAAGAACCGTGTCCTGTCGATCCCATCCAAGGAGTCTTTCTGCTCTGCCTTTTGCAACTGGACGTGTCTATCTCGTATTGGCCTCTTTAGCCACCACTGTGCTTGTAACAAATGTGGGCAGAGCCCTTCCCAAATCTTCGTTCACATAGCCTACTCATGATTTTGGATATTAATTTGGGAGTCTGGACTCATTGGTTTATTTGGTTCTGGAACTGGTCTTTGGTTTATTTGGTTTTGGAAACAGGTATTTGGTTTCTTTTGTATTATGGGTACTTCAGGTTGCAAAGAAAGAATCTTGAAGAAATCCTTTCTGGTATTTTGGGTATTAACTTGTGATTTCTGGACTTGTAAGTTGCATTGGTTTTGGAAACTGGTAATTGGTTTATTTTGTATTCTTGAACCATTGGAAACAAATTGGGACCCCCTTTGGAGGGATAAAGCTGTTGATGCTGCAGGGGTTCCAGGACCCTGAGGATTCCAGTGCCCACTGAAAGTGTTATTCAGGGAGATCCTCTCAGTCCCTGGATGCGGGGAGTTCCAAGCAAGATCCCTGGGATTTTATTAAGACATTAAAAGGTTTATAAAAGGTATATAAAAGGTGTACCTAAGCAACATAGGAATGTTACAGAATGGCTGCTGGAAACCAAAACACCAATTACAGGAAGCCTGTAAAATCTGGGCTTTGGGAAAGGTTGGGGAGGGTTGGGAAAG